TATTCAATTATTCATGCATTTTGTTGAAAGGGATGAAGCAAAACATCCACCTGGACCTACTTTTCAAAATCCTATGCATGAAAACAAGACCAAGTGCATTAGTGGGAGAATAACATTCTAACTGTACACACTTTCATATGGTTTCACTTTATTTTGGCCATGTTTCTTTGCATTCCTCTGCTCTTCCAATTCCCGTGAACCAAACACCCAAGTTGACAGAAATCCTATGTTTACAAATGCTCTATTTACCATGTGCATTCCTATCATATTTCGGTGTTTTTCCTATCCCTGCGTTTTTAGAATCATGCAAGCCAAATGAGCCCTTACAGAATTACTTCAGTTACAGGTAGGTGTCGAAGGGAACTTTGTGTGGTTTGTCCTGCTCCTGCCGCAACGTCGTCCACCTCACCTGAACTACTCCATCAACAAAAGCATCCACCAAACCGGACATTACGACTCCTGACCGTCTTTCGCCGCCTCAGATCTCCTTTGCTGCTGCCGGCACCCACCTCAATGGCATCACCATCATCGACTCAGCAGATGAACCTGAGGAGTACACAGGTCCACAAGAGAGGTCGCACTCTTTTGTTTCCGCTTATGTTATGCATTTCTTAAAATTACCTGCTACTTTATCGTCTTGTTCACCTCTTGAACTCCAAGTCAGGTCCAAATTAATGTTCAAACTTGAGTTATAAATTAGTTGTGGGGCACATATCGAGGCAGCAATGAATAGTATCTCTGTCTAATATCTGGTTCACCTAGGGTATGCCTATGTTATTCATCTTGGGTGGGAAACAAATAGTAAAGCAATCATCATCTGTCTTTTTAATAAATTAAAGCAATCATCAGCCTGCTATAATTATTTTTGGATCCATCCATTGGTTGTTACCATCACTCTAAATTTCGGCATGCTCTCCTTACATAATCTCACCATATTTTTTTCGTATGCATGTCAGATATTGTACACAGTCATGTTGAACATGTAGAGAAAAAGAGAAGAGTCTTGTGTGGCAATACAATGTCATGCAGACATCGCTCCATGGTGGGTTCAATGGCAAACCCTCCCCCCTCTCCAGATTGTAATCCAGAGGAAGATATATGTTCTGAGGTGGATCCAGACGCCGCTGACCACTCCTATTTACCCCCCAATGTGTTTTCTCTACCTTGGCATGATGATGTTAGTCATATCATGCATATGTTGCCTTGCAGTGCCTACTTTTGACATCATATATGTCATCTGCTTAGTTTAGACATGTTCTGTAATGCCACCTGTTTAGTTTCTATATCATATATGGGAATTATGCAGTCCCATGTCTTTTAGCTAGCCATAATATATGTGAAATGTGCAATGCCATCATGTTTAACCAGGCATCATATATTTGAATGATATCTTTCCCATACTTTTCTTCATTACATTTCCATTTGTCAACATTGTTTATACATTAAACTACTCTTCCTATGAATCAGTCATTTGGGTGGGAGATGGAAAAATCTGGAGTGAAAACAAGGCCTTCAGAGCAAACAGTGCTATCTGTCGAAGCAGATCTCTTGTTGGGTCCCGATAGCTCCTCAGAGATGGATTCAGAGACAGATGACCAGTCCTATTTCCCCACCAAGGTGTATGCTCTAACTTGGCACGATTATACTGCTCATATCATGCACATGGTATCTTGCATTGCATAGTTTAGACATCATATACACAATATTCAACACGATGTTCTTAGTTCAGACATCATAACGAATGCCCTCTATTTAGCATATAAATCACATATGTGAATTAAATGATGCAATCCTGATTACTTAGATAACATATAGGTGAATTATGTCATGCGATCATGTTTAGTTATTCATCATATCTTTGAATTATGTTATGCTATGCTATCCAGTTTAGATAGATATCATATATGTGAAATTATGTCATGTTATCCGTTTTAGTTAAACAATATACATGTAAACTATTTTATCCCTCTTTTTTCTAAACTATCTATTGCATACTTATCATACAATGTCTGTATATTCAACTATGTTTCCTGTTTATCAGCCATTTGAATTGGAGCGGGTGATGCCAGTATCTAGCGGACTAAAAACACGGTCTTTAAATAAAACAGTGCTACCACTTGGTGGAGATAGCACCCCGGTTGTAAATGCACGAGAACCAGCCCTACCACACATAATCCAAACTCTCACAGATTATACCCCTACTGTGATGGACAGAGAACCAGCTTCACCCAATCTAACCCCAACCCCAGCAGATAGTTACCCAGTTCCTGTTGACACAACACCATCTCCACCACAGAGCTCCCAAACAAGAGTAGTTAGTAAGGCAGCTCCAGTGCCCAAAGGGCCAGTACTACCACGGCGAACCCCAACTCCACCAGTTAGTACGCCTATTCCTGTGGAGGAAGCACAACCAGCTAGTCATAGTTTAGCATCTATCGCATTTAATGTTGTTAAATCGTATGTGCGTATCTTCCCATCTTGGAAATATTATACTGAAGATGAAGGAAAATTCCAATTACAGGTGTTTGTCCAGGAGTTATGTGTAAGTAATGTTATTCATGGCAATTACTTTGCTTTGTCCCATACATCCTACCTCCATGATGGTTATAATGCAGCAAATTTTCCCATTTTTCTCTATAGAGACGGACCGATTTGGAAAATTAAGATGACGTAACCTGTGCTAATACCTCTGCTGTCTTCAAGAATGCTTGGTGGCAGTATCGGAATTACCTGAAGAAAACATACTTCACCGGCAAAGAAACTCATCAAATTCCCTTATGTTCTCCTGAGACACATTTACTAAACGATGAATGGGAATGCCTTGTTCTGTACTGGTCCCGGTCCAAGAATGTGGTAAGGTCTATGAGCTCATTTTCTATTTTTAAGTACTATATTCTTGCGTCTTACTATACTCTGTTCATGTAGAACAAATGACTAAACCCGAAGAACAACTGTTCTAATTTAAGATTCCATTGCTATCATAGTTCAAAAAAGCGTAGGCGTTAATTGTGCATTTTACCACCGCCTTGCGCTTTACTGACCAAAGCACATGCTTATGCACAGTTATGCATAGATTAAGCGTAGTTATCCGCAATGCGTTTTGCCAACGCCTAGAGCCTAGGCGCGCTTAAGCGCTCGCTTAGGCGCGCCTTTTTTAACTATGATTGCTATCGTGCATACTGCTTTGCTCTTGTATCACTGTATTTACTCATACAAACTTATTTTTAAATTGAAGGATCCAATCAAAACTCCAATGGCACAGCAGGTATGTTCACACATGTTTGTTTAACAGATTTTCTCTTATCAATAGCTCTGTTGATTTCAATTTCAATTGTGTATACAGTTGACTTCTCATATCATGCACATTACTAGCATCACAACAGAGCCAATAGTGTTGTTGTACATGTAGACCCGTGGTACCCATCTGAAATCTTGTTGTGTCGTGTAGTTTCACATGCTTTGTATTCTTTCACTGTTGCTTTGTCTTGAACTGATATGATTTGAACCATGTCTCTATTTTGACTAGTACAATGCCCGTGCGTTGCCACGGGCTTCTTAAAATTTATATCGGTTGCATATATAAACATGTCAAATTTGACATGTAAAAAAAACCTTTAGCATAGGTTAATAACTGAAACTGACTCCACTTGCAATGTATTTCGATAAAGAATGAAATGAAATTCGACGACATAGCTATCATATATGCACAAAAAGTAGAAAAGGTGGCACAAAAACACAGAACCCTTTATTGTGCACTTCATTACAAATGATAGATAGCACATGGAACCCTTTATTATCCATTAAGTAAATATAACACATGGAGGATTTTGTACTCTTAAAATGAATGTTTCAAGATGCTACAACCAAAAACTTGATTGCATTACGAAATTGTCTAACAAATTATTACATATGAAATTAGGCACTTGGGAGTTTAGAATTTAGGTACTACTGCAGCAAAACACATGTCCCATGGCAACACAAAATATTTTAAGCTTCCCCGTCTATTATTCATAGCTCAAAAGATTTTGGACAAACCATGTCTACTTTTCTTGGCTCAAATTGATTGAGGCCCCACCAACTGCACTCAACTTCTAAGATATTTCTTATTTAATGTCCATGAAAGCAATCATCCAGTAAGGTCGTTGGTGATTGTAAGTGATATTTATAATTACTTGATATTTTCATATACAATATCTAAATAATAAACTATAATCATTATCCTCCATTTACCACCCCCTCAACTAAGGTGCAACTGCATCCCTCTAATTAGAAACACAACAGTAAAGTATTAATCCAACAATAATGAAGAACGTGATAATCTATCAATTGGTTCTGCGGCATGGTAACCACTCCGACAACTATTGCACATAACTTTGGACTTTCTCTATTCATGACAAAATATCAACTCCCAAGGCAATGCTAGGAGTGCCTATTTCTTATGGATGTCACAACTGTTGTAATATGACTTGCCGACACGATTGTATTTTCATAGAGCCAGACAAAATAAATACAAATAATTAGAGGCCTGGATATCAAACATTAGATAGCCCCATAAAATTGCATACATGTAATCCTTGTAAATATTTTGCTTCTAATAATACATGTTTCAGACATCTAGTAGGAAATATTGAGTCTCAATAGCAAAGATCAAACACATGCTTCCCCGTCTGAGGTATAAATATGTGTAATTTCTTAATTGGTACGCTTTCAAAATCTTCTAGCTCATAACACCATAATTCCAGTGATTTTGCCACACATTTTGTTGGAACATATACATAAGCACTTCTTCACCCTACAATATATTGTTGGGGATCAAACTGAAAAGCGAAACATACGCCTTTTCACAAAAATTGTAAAATTGACGAGACTAAAAAAATGAATACCACCTAGTAGAAACAAATCGGACATGTAAATACCTGAGCAAAGGACATACACGAAAACCAATAAAAATCCAAAGAGTAGGGGCTTTAACGCTCCAATCATTATTCTGGTGTCTTGCATTAGGCATGCTGCTGTAGTGTGAGACTGTCACATTTTTCTAGGCTGCTCCTAGCTGATTTACCCAGGATGCCCCTGTTGTTTATGTTCGTTGAAACTGATTCTGCAATCTCCAAAACTAAATTATTATCGGGTTAAGCAGTTGTAACTTCAAGTTTAGAAGATCAACAGTGCTAAGTTTTTTGCTCCTGTATTGCAGGAGATGCTGCAAAAATGAACCAATGCAAATTAAATAAAGCAATTAAGGATCTCAATCATCTCAAACTAAGTAAAGTTTAGATGAAGCAAACTTTCCCAACCATGGATCTTATAGGTCAAGAAGCCTTGCTCATGTCCACCTGCGGTGCCCCACTCACGACCTCACCTGGTGGTTGGTGCCATTGTAGTCACGAGAAACCACCATCACACACAACTTCTGATCTAATTAATCAGAGTGCTCTTTCTCATCTAGATGAAGAATCTCTTTCCCTCAAAATAAAATGTACGAACTCTCGACGCACAAGAAAACCAAAGGCACAGACAGACACAATTTCTTCCCTGTCAATTGAAGCTCGGTAGAAGATGCTACCTTCAACCAATCTATTAGGGCAACTCCAACGCACCACCCCGTCCGGTCCGTGTCTTCCCGTTTGGGCCCAAACGAATAGACCGCACGACCCAACATGTGACCGCATCCGCATTTTCTGTCCATTTCGCGTCCGGGCCGCCCCATTTCCGACTCAAACTTACGCCCAGTTTGCGTCCACACGGACGTCGAACGGACGCTCACGTGCCCGCTCCGCGTCCGTCTTGGGCCCGTGTGGCAGCCGCCCACTGTCGGTGTCAAAACCGGCGGATCTCGGGTAGGGGGTCCCGATTTTGTGCGTCTTAGGCTGATGGTAACAGGAAGCAAGGGACACAATGTTTACCCAGGTTCGGGCCCTCTCGATGGAGGCAAAACCATACTTCCTGCTTGATTAATATTGAAGATATGTGGAATACAAGAGTAGATCTACCACGAGATCATAGAGGCTAAACCCTAAGAGCTAGCCTATGATGGTACGATTGTAATTGTGATCGGCCTTCTAAGGACCATGCTCTCTGGTTTATATAGACACTGGAGAGCTAGGGTTTACATGGAGTCGGTTTACAAGGAAGGAAACATAATATCCGGATCGCCAAGCTTGTCTTCCACGCAAAGGAGAGTCCCATCCGGACACGAGCCGAAGTCTTGAGTCTTGTATCTTGACGCTTCTATAGTCCGGACGATGTATATAGTCCGGCTGTCCGGATACCCCCTTATCCAGGACTCCCTCAGTGGCCCCTGAACCAGGCTTCAATGACGATGAGTCCGGCGCGCAGTCTTGTCTTCGGCATTGCAAGGCGGGTTCCTCCTCCGAATACTCCAAGGTTCCCATCATGACGAACAGTGTTCGACATCTTCATCAATGTTGTACTCCTTATCCAGGACTCCCTCAATGGCCCCTGAACCAGGCTTCAATGACGATGAGTCCGGCGCGCAGTCTTGTCTTCGGCATTGCAAGGCGGGTTCCTCCTCCGAATACTCCAAGGTTCCCATCATGACGAACAGTGTTCGACATCTTCATCAATGTTGTACTCCTTGGCTTCGGTGTATCAATAATGATCATTTCCACGTGTCGAGCGAATGTGAGGAGTAGAGGCATTTTTGCATTTGCCACCCTCGGCCCTTCGGGCTAGCCGTCTATTTGAAGAGACGGGGATTCCTAGATCCAAACCTCACTCTCCCTCCTCGAGCAAGCATCCAACAAAGCGCCCAGAAAAAAAACCATTCGAGCATGGCCAGTCGTCGCAACTCTTCTGCTCGCTCCCCCTGCCCCAAGCCGGGAGACTGGGGAGAGTGTTCAATTTCTCATGGCCGTTTGATAAAGTTACAAACTCAAGGGCTCCTCCCGCCGGCATTCATGGTCCCTGTTCAAGCCGGAGTTGCCACCTATAACGACGGAGAACAAGCGGAGAGATCCCCCAATCCATCTCCAGAGGAGCGAATATGCTTAATTCCGCATCTGTTAAGGGGCTTCAGGTTTCCTATCCATCCATTCCTTCGTGGGCTTCTGGAGTTCTACGGGCTCCAGTTGCACAGTCTTACCCCAGCCTCCATACTGCATATAGCAGGGTACGTCGCCCTTTGCGAGCTATTTCTAGGCTGTGAGGCTCATTTCAGATTGTGGAAGAAGTTGTTCTGCCTTGTCCCCCGCAACTAGGGAGAATACCTATGTCAAGTGGGCGGGGCCGAAGTATGGCGTATTGCTGAGACCGGATACCTGTCCGGTACTCCCAAGAAGGCTCCAAACAACTGGGCTTCAGAGTGGTTTTATATTGATGACGCTCCTCTTTCGGATCCAATCCGGACAGGACTCCCCAAGTTCAGTAACTCTCTGCCGAGGGCGCGTCTAAGTTGGCGCCCCCGAGGCCCCCAAGAAGAGGATTCCAGGGAAGTACATTTCCTGATGAATATGATAAAGTTACTGGCCCAATCCGGACTGACGATAGTCAAGGTGATGGCAATATGTATAATGCGGGGAGTAAAACCGCTTCAATATCAGAGCAATCCCATGTGGCACTACAACGGGACAGACGATGCCACCCGCTGCGGCCGTAAGGGTCCGGACTCCCCCACCGCTCTGGCAAGGATACTGTCCGACCTGTACAAAGGAGAAGAGGAGGAATTCCTCCATATCAAACCGCGAGAACGGATTCTCCATGTACAATCCCCCAAACTGGGTAAGTCGTCATTTATTTTATCGCTTCACTTAATGTGGCGTTCTTTGCTAAAGTTACCTACGTCGATATTTCCAAGCAGGAACTGAGGAGGGACGTGGAAGGAATCACCAGCCCTTCTCCGTAGCCAGAGGACCCCGAAAGGGCCCTGGATCCAGGATTCGAAGAAGACCCAGATGCGGCCGTGGAGCTTGTTGACGGGATATTTTATCGGACGAGCCGTGATGGCGCCCCAGTGGCTATTACCGCCGGTTATCCCGGACTGTTACCTTCGTCGCGTGTAAGCCAAGCCGAAAACTCGATCCTCCGAAGAGAATTCTTTCCTGATGTCACACCTTATCCCTGATATGTCGTGCTTTTACAGAAGCGACGTTCGGAGCGCACGGCCGAGCCCCTAGGGACCCGTCAGCCACAGCCGTCCGGATTGGGCAGGCTCTAGAGGAAAGCGATTAGAGCCGACATGCCTCTACACAGGTAAGAAAACAACCTGTCATGCAATTTTGTTGTCGTTTGAAGTATAACAGCGCCCTTCGTACATTTTGGCATGAAGAGGAGTATCCGGACTGTATCCGGAGATCCTGCCAACCACGCCTCCACCAGTCGGGCTCCAAGACCAACATCGAGAGAGGAGGCGGACGTAGGGCCGATGCCGCATAGTCCTCCGACAAAGGACGCAGATATGCTCTCCGCCACCAATTCGGAGATAGAGAGCGCCATGGATCATCGGCGTCGACAAGAGGCGTTTAATGCCTTCAATTCGGGAGACACATACATCCGAGCTGCTCAAAGCGGACTCGCCCAGGCGACAGTCCAGTATACCAAAGATATACGGGTAAGAAAGCTTGATGAGCATATATATAGTAGTAGCCCCTGAGACTTGAAATGGTTGAAACAACAGTTTTAAGTATCAATTCATGCGCAGGTTCTTGTTGATAAGAATGAGCAATTGGCTCGGGAGCTAGAGGAGTGCAAGACTCAATTGAGGGCCACAGTTGCCAAGCTAGAGGAATCCCAGAAGGCCTCGTGTGGTAATATTTATCTGAATTATATGAAAATGCACCAGTTGGCAACCGACTTGTATGACAAATTTAACAGAGAGTTCTGTAGACAACCCCGGAGTAAATCCAGAGGGAGGCGGGGAGGACGAGTCGCATCTCCAGAGGCAACTAAAGGCCGGCGAGCGCATCCTGACGCAAGTGAGGCGTGATAAGAATATGCTCCAAGATGCCAATGTTCGGCTGGACGTGGAATTGAAAGACATCCGCGCACAGCTGGCGGACTCCGTGAAGGAGAACAAAAGGCTTCGCCGCGGCATTTATTGTAAGTGCCTAAACGAACTGTAGTATAGTTCGGCGAGGAAGCATATTGAAAAAGTTATGGTTGCAGGAATGTTGACGGGTTGCCCTGAGGAGGAGATGCCCGCATCTGCAGGTGATTTACTACAGGACCTCTCACAACTGCACGAGCGAGCTCGGTAGGTGATGCAGGGCATTGCGCGGTCTTTGTGGCCATCAAGCTCCCTGCCAAAGGGCATGGGGGGCTTGTGGACATGCTTCAGGGAGCACAGCAGCGCTTCCGTTTGTGGAAGATATCCGCCTGCCGGCAAGGTGCAAGAAAAGCATGGGCGATGGTGAAGACGCGCTACACCAAGCTGGACCCGAACCATATGGCCGAAGTTGGACCGGCCGGGCCAGATGGGCAATAAATTCTCGTGAGTCTGGTATATAACCAGGCGGCGTTAGCCGCAAAGTATTCTCAACAGGATTGTAAGTTAGATAGCCTGTTGGATGGTATAGAGGATGAATATAATCAGTCCAAATGACTGTGTAATTCGATGGACATAAGTAGCCCCTAGACGGATTTAAAATCATTTGTCATGGCGGACCTTTTCGCTTCAGCCCCCGGATCCTAAAGTCCGGGGTGTGTCCGAATACCCGCTCGGTTATATAAAACTGAAGTATGCATGGAGACCAGGCGCAGGGGTCATAAGTGCTTGAACAGACAAGTACCCAACTAGTTATGTTATATTGCATGGTTAGCAAGAAACATCTTCCAGGAAGAATAGTTCCGTTAAGGGTTCCTTTCCCTGGGTAAGCATGTGTCAAGGCACATGTCCGGACTGCGAACCAAAGCGCAGGATACGAAACTTCTGGGGATTAATGTTATAATAAACGAGGACATCTTTTGTTCACGGACCGAATATTCTCTTAAGGAAACTAGCTTTCGGCTTCACCCAGTCTGAGGTACACATCCGGCTCAACCGACAGTAACAATCGCAGAGGTGCTCCCCTTATGCCCTAGCCGAATTAACGGAAACGTAGGGCATAAACACAGGAGCCAAGCAACCCAGCTTGGCCATGTCTTAAGTCATATCGATGC